AAAATTGTGTATATATATATGTATATATATATATATATATATATATATATATATATATATATATATATATATATATTATATATATATATATATATATATATATACATATATATATTATATATATATATATTTATATATATATATATATATATATATATATATATATATATATATATATATATATATATATATAAATATATATACACATATATATATGTATATATATATATACACATATATATATATATATATATATATATATATATATATATATATATATATATATATATATTTATATATATATATATATATATATATATATATATTTATATATATATTAAGGTGTCCGTAAAAAAATAATTTTTAAAAATATTTTGCATTCAATCTCTAAATGTGTTCTATATAATACAAAAACACTAGGTGTAAATTTTTTTAAAATAAAAAATATTTTAAGGGGTCCCCAAAATCCTCCAATATTTAATGGGTCCCTAATTAATGCAAAATTAATGTTTTTCAAAAATATGACAACTATGAATATATAATTTTTTTATTTGTTTTTTTAGGTGCTCGGAGAAGACCTAACAGTCTTGTCACAGAGCACCGCAGAAGTGCGTTTAACAAGGAAGTTCAGGTCTCCTTTCTTACCGTGACGCGATGAATGTCCAAAGCTCGTTTCGAACATGGTTATAAATAAGCACTCTAACCACTACGCCACGGCCGCTCATATTTGTTAAGTAATGTTTCAGAAGGCATGTTTTCTATTTATATACACATATAATTTTTTTTTTTTTTTTCATTGTAATTCTGTTTGTTTGTTTGTTTTTTTTTTTTTTTTTTTTTTTTTTTTGGTTATATTTGCCGTTTATTAAGTATTACAGTTTACATAAATTTACAACTAAGGTAATGGTCAGAGCAGACGAAAGGATTAATTTGCTTTTCGCCGAGCACTGTGTTACGTTTTATAATATTTTACAAAATTATTAAAGAATATATACATTATATAAAAAAATTTTATTAAATGCTTACAAAAATATAAAAAATTAAAAATATATTGTTTCATACTCAATATCATAAAAAGATTAGGTAAAAGTAAAAATGAATATATATAAATTTATACCCATATATATGAACACAAACATGTGCGCATATATATATATATATATATATATATATATATATATATATATATATATATATATATATTATATATATATATATATATATATATATACATATATATTTATACATAAATATATATATATATATATATATATATATATATATATATATATATATATATATATATATATATATATATATATATATATATATATATATATATATATATATATACATATATTTGTATAGTTTTTCACTTATGGTGACAGATTTTACAAAAAACGAACACCTACGGGGAGATTAGCATTAACGGGGACTTTTTTGTGTACCCGGTAATTTTTTGTTCCCGCAAGCCTTTTTTTTTTTTAAAAAAATATACCTTTAAGAAACTTTTATAGACAGTGAAAAGTACATACATCGACTATCAAATTGCTTGACTCGCAAGGGAGTGCTACTACATCAACTGAGGGTTTGGTTGGGCCAGGCATCAAGGTCAGGGTTAGGGTTAGGGTAATGTCCAGGTTTAAATTTGGTTGTATTATTGTTATGAAAGATATAATTATGAAAGTTATGCAAAAACAAATTCAATTATAATTATGAAAGTTATGCAAAGAAGTTGTGAAGGTATAATTTAAAACATAAGCAGAATTGCACATTAGAAGAAGTGGTCTTTAGAACTCAGAAAGATTGAATATCAAGATAAAGTTGTATTAAAGGAATCAAAAAATATTGAATCAAGAGACGAGATGGTTGCGAAAAGAAATCGCACTAATTGTTGTTTAGAGAGCACAGGTATGAAATACTTTATTTTCATTTTTGTGCTTAATTGAAACTTGTAGTTATACTCAAAGCAACGAAGGCATAGCACTAAAAAACTCGTAAAAAAAAAAAAAAACCGATAATATAAAACAATTCCGATTGGTTGTTTGCGGCAAACCGAAAAACGTTTTATTTATTGGCATTTAATTTATGCAAACAATGAATACGAGTTGAAGGTAATTTATTCATAAAGTTTATCTCCTCTGTTTTTTAATTGTGCATTATGCATTCTTAATGTAATAAATTATTATTTCAAGATCGCCGAATAAGTCCTGAGTATTTAAAAAAATTATATTACCGAAAAAAGTTTTTTAAATGGGGCTAAAATTTATGATTAGTTATGCAAAAATGACATTGGTAGAAAAACTAACACTACCATAGGTTATCTAAATCTAACATGACATTATTGTTTAACATGCTCATTTAGGTGTGGTATTGAAAATAGTAACTTCGATTCTCATAAAAAAATGGTTTTTCATGGGTAATTTTTCTTAATAATATCTGATTAGAAATATAAGGTTACATTCATAAAAAAACAAACACCAATACGTGGTTTTATAAAAAAAATCAAGTACATAGACTTATCTATAGCTAAGCCCCAAGTACTTTAAGTTGAAAACTGCATCTTGTCTAAATAAAACTACATTTGACGATTTGTTATAGTCGCATTAGTTTTACCAGATTATAATAGTAGTTAAAATAATTTTTCCATATATACCAAATATGTCATACTTTTTGATGAAAAAACTTACATATATTGTAATTGAAAAAAATTACACATTAATATCATAATTGAAAAAACTTATACTTTTGTGCGGAAAAAAAACACAAAAAACTTTACGTTGAATTTGTGTTAGTAAGGAAAAAACACAAGAAACAAACAGCTCTATTTGTGTTAATAAGATAATAAAATGTATATAAAATTCACGTCCAGGAGGTAATTCACTAGTATTTAGAGCGGTAGCCCTCCAACCAAAAAAAGAAATATCAAATAATGAATACTGATTTTTTACTGGAAAAAAACTAGCCTGTTTTTGGTCCAGGCAATCATTCAAATGCAGCTAAACTGTTATATGATTGGTGTGGAAAATTTTATCAATTTGTCTTATCACTTTCTGATCAATTAAAAAGTTTAGAACAAAATTATAAACAAAACTTGTGTGAAATTAGCAAATTGAGATCTGACTTGAATGCAGCAAATGATAAATTGAAATTTTCTAGTATTAGCAATGATTGGGTTCAGATAGTAAAAAATGGGAGTAAAAATTCAAAAAAGACAGTTGAACAGTTAACTGTTGAAAATGTAACAATCAACGATTTAAATGAGAGGGAGAAACGCAAGAAAAATATTATTGTTTACGGAGTACCTGAGTCGAAAAAAGAAGTATTTCTTAAAAAAAAAACAGAAGATGAACTTGCATTTAAAGGTATTTTGATTTTCATTAATAAAGCTGAAGTAAAGCTTGTGTATTTGAAAAGGTTGCACTCTAAAGATTCAACAAAACCTGGTCCTATCCTTGTTGAACTTAGTGAACCTAGCCTACGAAATCCAATACTTTTAGCAGCGAAAAACTTGAGAAATAGCAAAGTTCATAAATCAGTATATTTTAGTCCAGATTTAACTGAAGCAGAATAGCAGTTGCATTATCAATTTAGACAAGAGAGAAACTTTTCGATATGGAATCCGTCGAAATTAAATCCAAAAATTCAAAAAAACCTAATTCAGATTAAGAGTTCTTTCAAAACATAGAAAATAATATTTTTTGGAAATGCATGTACCTAAATGCAACATCTTTGGAAAATAAATTTGATGAATTTACGGTTGTTGTCTATACAAATTCTCCTTATATAATTGGAGTTACCGAAACTTGGTTCAAAAGTGTCTCAATAGTCAATATTCAGGGATATAACGTTCATAGAAGAGAGAGATGTGATGGTCGAAGAAGAGGTGGTATGTCTATATCTAAAAATTTCGATTGACTCATATGAGCTAAACAATATTCAATTTAGTCAGAGCAAAATTGAACAAATCTGGGTTGTACTGTTATTTGGTAAAGATAAATATTTAGTTGGTTGCCTCTATAGAAGCTAGAAATTATGTTGAGAAAAAAGGGTTTAAAGATGTCTTAATTAAGGGAGATTTGAATTTTCCTTTAATAAATTGATCTAATGGAAATGCATCTTCTATTGATAACAATTCAGCCATTGAACATATCTTAGTTACACGCTAATTGACACTTTTCTACATCAGCATGTAAACACTCCAACTTTTCAAGTCTCAAACGAAATAGCAGGTAATATATTGGATTTAATTTTTACGACTGAATCTGGAAATATATGTGCAATAGATACACAGTTTGTGCTTGGTAATACTATTAAAGGACACTTGGTAATATTTTTTAATTACTTTCTTAAAATAAAATGAAACTTCTACCTGTAAACTAATATAAATTTGTTTACAAAAAAGCAAATTATGAAAAAATTTCTCAATTTATTTCAAATGTTGACTGGGTACAACTGTACAAAAATATGCCAGTTCAGGATATGTATATTGAATAGATTTATTACTCCAACATTGCAAGCAATTTATTTATTCCCACTACTGATGTTTTACAAATTAGAAGTATGTAAACTCCTTGGATGAATAAAGAACTTAAATACCTGATTAGGAAAAAGAAAAATTTGAGATACAGAAGCTGTGCTCGAAAATGGAAAGATGCTAATTTGTCGGATTATAAAATCTGAAGTGAAGCGTTCTCGAATAAATTATGAACAAGACTTAATTAAAAAAGCTAAGCAAAATCCAAAATTGCTATATAAATATATTAACAATCAGTTTGTGGTAAAAGATTCAATAAAAGCTTTACTAAAAGACGATGGACATATTTCACAAGATCAAATTGAAATCGCTAATATTTTAAACAAATGTTTTCAAGATATATTTGTTATTGAACCTGATGGTGCCCTTCCTAAGTTTGAGTCAAGATTTAACAATTGTGCTACAAATTTTTCTGATATATCTCTAGACGAAATCAATTTTAATGATGTTTTGATGAGGCTTCAAAGTCTTAACAAAAATAAAGCCTTCGGACCTGATAAACTCCATCCTGCTATGCTAAAGAATGTTTCAGAGACGTTTGCACTTCCTTTAACAATAATCTTCAGAGAATCATTAGCTTCAAGCCAACTTCCAATTCAATTTAGATCTGCAAATATTACTCCTCTTTTCAAAAAGAGTGATAAGGCAGTTGCAGCTAATTACAGACCAGTTTTCCTCACGTCAGTTGTGGGCAAAATACTTGAAGGTATTATTCTTAACAATATTGAAACTTATTATTACAAAAATAAACTGCTAATAGAGCATCAACATAGATTCATAAAGCATAAATCGTGCACAACAAATCTTTTAGAAACAATTGATTTTATAACGTTAAACATCAAAAATTATACTCCAGTTGATGTTGTTCTACTAAATTTTGCAAAGGCCTTTGATACAGTTCCTCATAACAGGCTGTTACTAAAACTAAGAGCTTATGGTATTGATGGATTAGTACTGAAATGGATTGCATATTTTCTCACAAATAGGAGACAGAAAGTAGTTATGGGTGACAAAGTCTCTTATTGTGTTGAAGTATTTAGTGGTGTGCCACAGGGTTCAGTAATTGGACCACTCCTTTTTTTGTCTATATCAATGATTTTCCAGACACAATCAAAAATTTTTAAAAATTATTTGCTGATGGTACCAAAATTTTATCAATAGTAAATTCAGATTTGTGTGTCAAAGAAATCCAGTTGCTAAAATTCAACATAAACAAGTGTGTTGTCATGCATTATGGCTCAAGTAATAAAAGTTATCCACTTTTCATTAATGGTATAAAACTTCATGATTCTAAGTCTAAACGAGATCTTGGAGTTATATTTTTAACAAATCTTAAATGGAAAGATCAAGTAACTATAGCAATTGGAAAAGCAAATCAAATGCTGGGGCGATTAAAGAAATCGTTTGCAAGCTTCGATTGTCAACTTATAAAATCTCTTTATTTAACATTCATTTGTCCACTTCTTGAACTTGCAATTCCTGTTTGGTTTCCTTATATGAAAGGAGATTGTAATGCGATTGAGAAAATACAACACAGAGCAACTAAAATTGTTTCATCAATTAGCAATCTCAAATATGAAGATCGACTTATTGTTTTAGGCTTAACAACCTTAACTGAAAGAAGAAAAAGGGAAGATTTGATAGCACTATAAAAACTTATGCATGGTATTGACAAAACAAAAATAAGAAAGTCTTTTCCACTTGTTAAAAATTCTTTAAGAGGGCATTGTTTTAAATACCATAAAGAATTCGCTAAACATCTTTCGAGGGAACATCCTTTTTAACAGAATTGCGAATACATGGATTTTACTTCCGATTGAAATTGTAAGAGCAAAGTCTGTTAATTGTTTTAAGAGAGGTCTTGATTGCTGGCTGAACAGCAATCAAGCATAACTGCTATCATAGTGTGTGCAACATCACACTCACTGGATTTGTCCAGTACAACATTAACTACTATTACTGTTATTACTATTAAAAACGTGTACCATGCCTCATTTGCATTGAGTACTCTAATAACCACTATTTTTTAGATTTTGAGAACATTTTTATGTAATAAACGATTTTTTTTAGTTTTTTAATCAAATTTTAACTGTAATATTTCTTACATAAAATGGAACCATTATTTTTTATGTACAAAATACAACAAAAATGTATATTTTAGGTGTTTACGTAACTTTTAAATAAGTTTCTCTACATTATTTTAGAGACTATAGTTTATCAAGAACTTAAGGGTACCACAATTTACATGAGATTCTGGGGTAAAATTGTGCAGTTATTATTTCCACTCATGGAACAGGATTGATTGCAGGAGAATTTACAAAATTGCACTATAAGGCTTTTATAAAGCTACCATATCTTGCATCAAGACTCATTCTTTGCTCTAACACATTTATTTTATTTTAAAAGATATATTTTTCCCTTAAAGAAGTTTAAAGAATTTAGTGTCAATGATTGGATGATAGAAGTTGTTTTTTTTTGTCGTTATTTATATTTTAGTAGAATTAAATATACAGAATTGAATAGTAATAATATCGAAAAGTATTAAAAGGCTACTAAAAATAGAAATACATTCCCAGAAAACATTTTATAGCCGAACTTCAATAGAACTATATAGTCAGAATGGACCTATATATTGAGTGGATCACTGTAGTTTTGCTCAACAGTTACTTAGTGGGCCATTAGTGGAAGCCAATAAAAATGCCATGCCAATGACTAACAACTATTAACATATCAGAAATTTATCGGCTTGCTATTTAATGCGGATGCTACTAATGGTCCACTAAGTAACCCATGAGCAAAGCTCCAATTAATTGCTATAAATGCCTATATAGATCCACTGCAAACCTGAAAAACAGTTTTGATGAATTGTTTTGCAACTGATATTAAGTTTTATTTCACTAATAATTTAGATGGCTGCTTCATATATAACAAATAGAAGAAGAGTTAGGAAGCAAGCTGGTAGAGATATATAAGAAACTTATGTTGAAAGTTGTGATCAAAAAATTACTTTGTAAACCAGTTATGTTTCTAATGATTGTTGAAGTGTATGTTATGACAACAATATATATGAGAGTGATTATGACAATGCTAGTGACAAATTTGCTGTTCGAGGTAATAGTTAATATGACAATGAATTTAGTGAACAATATTTCACAACAGACTCAGAAATACTTTTTTTTTAATTTGATTTCTACTAATAGCTGTATAAAAGAATTTAGATGCAAGTTAACTTTTATGTTTGCAGTAATGCTGTTCTTTAATAATTTTTTGTTTAAATATGATTTGAAAAAAATGTAGTGATTCTTTGTCTTCATGTTATGCAGGTAAATACATAATTTTAATTTTATTATTTTTTAAATTTATTGTATACAATATTATGTACATATATTTTTATCTTTTTTTGTTATTTCTTATAGATGTAGATGTAGATATATTAAAGTTGCACAATAGTCTTTTACTAATTTTTGTACAATTTTGAATAAGCTAATATCTCTTAAACAATTTAAAACTCATTCTCGCTTGGCAATATATTAAACAAGTTACATCTTTTTACTGTATTTATCCCTTCATGCTATAAAATCTTTTTAAAGCTTGATAAACCAGTTTTTTTCTTTAAACATCAAAAAAATCTTATAACTCTTACCCGGCTTCACGTTTTTCCTTTTTGATACAACTTACAACTTTTTATGTCTTTGATTATATGTTTCCTGATATTTTAACTTATTCTCAATTTTATAGTAACTCATTATTTAATAGTGGTTGCTTAAAATTTTGTTGGAAGTAAATTAGAGTTTAGAAATATATAAATGTATGACAATTTTTAAATAAATAGCAAATGTAAGCATAAAACTATAATATATTAAGTTTTATAAATTTTATTCTAGCCCCAGCTATCAACCCCTGCTAAATCTTATAATTTTGCCGGGGCCAGATTTGCAAAAAGTCTCATTTTTAACCGGGACCGGGGCCCCGGTCACCTACTACACACTGTGTTTCATTAATAAAGACTCATCAGAAATAAAAATCCTTTTTTGAGTCTTATTGATGAAACACAGTGTAAATTGAGAAAAATTTTGTTGAATGACTTTATATATATATAATTTTTACAGTAGTTATGGGATTGCCTAAAAGCTCAACAAACGAAAGATGCAAGTTCTTAGATTTCTATCAAATCATATAATGAATAACGGTCGCACGTGAAAGTTCCTCTCAAGCAAATTAAAAACTCAACATTCGTATGGAAGCTAAGCAGTCGAGAAAAACATTATTTTTTAGTATGTGTATAATTTGTACGAATATTTTAACTTTATTATAATCATTATTAAAACAAATTTGGTTTTCTGTGTTATTATGAAGTTCAAGTTGCTTCATTTATTAGCATAAAAATCAGTTTCGTTTGTTACGGAAAAATATCATTTAAACTTATTTGGAGAAAAAAAAATTAATGTAACGAACATAATTTAAAAATTAGTAAGCACCTGCTTACTAAATGAATCAAAACTGTAAGAATTCTTATATAAAATAATATTATGTTTGACCAACGTTGGAATTCGACGCTCGCCCAACGTCGGATGTCTACGTTGGGCCAACGTTAGCCCAACGGTTGGTTGCGACATCGCGTCGACTTTCAAATCGACGTTGTGGCAACGTCAGTTGCCAACCATCGACCAGCAAATATTTTGACGTTGATCCGACGTTGGGCCAACGTGAGTCTGCTATCTGGGGTATGCTACTTTAAAATTTTGTTTTTCATTTAAGGATAAGAGTATTTTAAATAAGTACAGGTTTAAACTCAGAGATGAACTAACTGAATCATAATCATCTTCAATTTTAAAAAACTCTAACAAGTTACAATAATAAACTCTACATAACACGCTTAAAAGTGATTCTACAAACGAAATAAGGAGGGGACGATTAGTTATTTAAAAATACAGACTGGCTCCATTTATATATATATAACAAAAAAAAATTCAAAAAAACTTAACTGAAATTTATTAAAATACCACTTAACTGAAATTTATTAAAATACCAGCAAAATTTATCAAAAAACCAACTAGAGTTTTCTTTAACTACTCGTAAATCTTTGGGGGAGTGTCGCACCATACACACACACACCTGTAAAATTGCCTCTGTATACACTAATTTTATTACATTAAGCTATATCAAATTTTGAATAAAAAAAAAAAGAGAATCATTTTTCCTTACATTTATTGTTCATTATAATTATAAATTATAAAGAGAAGTAGATTTTTAATATAAATAATAAAGTGTGTGTGTGTGTGTGTGTGTGTGTGTGTGTGTGTATGTGTGTCTGTGTGTGTGTGTGTGTGTGTGTGTGTGTAATGTCAAAGATAATTTAGCTAAGCTTTATTTTGCTGCAATCGAAACCATCTCTATATCGCAATATATTTAAATACCCAATTTAATCTTCCTGTTCCCTAAAGATATAGTAAAATTTTTCCTAAAAAATTAGTAAGTATTATATACTATATAACAATATATTATATACTATATAACAATAAAAGTAAGAAAACAAAACATCTTCAACCAAAACTATTTATATATATATATATATATATATATATATATATATATATATATATATATATATATATATATATATATATATATATATATATATATATATATATATATTTCTTTTTACTTCTTTTTTTTAATTGAAGAGCGAAAATAATTATTAATTGAAATATAGAGGAATAAAATAATATTTATTAGTTTTAGTTTGGGTTTAATTTCAATTCATCAAAAAAGCATTTGCATTTGTTTTTATAAAACGGTTTATTGTTTATGAAACTCTCTTTAATATATTACAAAAATAAGAAAAGTTCTATTTTGTTTAAAGATTAACTAGAGTGTAAAAAGATGCTCTAATAAATCTACAAAAACTTGTTTTGTAATACAAACATGGTATAAAAACCAAAAAAAAATTATAAACTAAGCATAAGTGAAAAAAAAACTTACTTCACAGAATTCAGAACAATATTAAAAGATGCATTTACTTTTCGATCACTATAAAGTTTGGTTATCTAAAAATAAAAATAAAAGTTACTTTTAATTGTTTTTTTTTAATGAACTATAATTAAAGTTAAGTTAAAAAATTTATTTTTCGTAAATAGATTCATTACTGCTAGCTTTATTTTATCTTTTAGATCTGATCTACCCTCTGATAGCATAATATAGGAATTGATAAAATCTTCATCCAAAAAATTGATAGCCAAGTTAACATTTTTACCTTACAAAATATTTAAAAATAATTTTTAAAAATAAATCATTCTTGTATACAAAATACAATCATTATTATCAGGGCCGCCGAGAGCTTTCGTGGCCCCAGTTCGACGCCAGCACAAGCCCAACAAGCAATATTGGTACGGAAGGAGGAGTGAACTTCTTGTTAAATGTTCTCCCGCGGTGCTCTGTGATAAGACCGCAAAGACTTCTGGGAGCACCTAATTTAACTACCAAAGAAAAAAAATTAAAGAAATAAAGTTATCATTTATTTTACATAGTTTAATATTTTCCGGTTTTTGATCTTTCAACCTGAGAAATGAGAATCTTAAAGAAAGTTCTCAGTCTTGATTTTAATTGTAAATGATATCCAATATATTTTTATATTTAGAGAGCTCAGACACCAACGACTTCTGAAGATAACGAAACGTTTGATTGCCAATCCAAGTTGCTTTCCTGCTCGTACCTTGAAGTTGTTAGAATTCGGTACTTCAAGGTCGCACTCAATGCATGTTGAAAATAGAATGTGTCCTTAACTGTCCTAGTAAACTATGGTATAATTAAATAGATTTTGAGACAAATAACACGCATTGTTTTGCGCTTTTTGACGATGAAAATCACAAGGCAGTTGTTCGACCAATTTAAGCCCTGTCAGTGTCCGCTTGCATTTTTCATAATTAGAGAAAAATTCATTGACATAGAAAACTTATCTGATCTTGCCATCATACAGTCTGGTTTGTCATTGATAAAGCAAAAAAATAGCAATGATGCAAGAGTTGATCCGTGAGGGACGCTGCTCGTCAGTCTTTTTCACAAGGACATTAATTCTTCAATTATTACTCATTGTTGTCCATTAGCTTGCCAACTAGAAATACACTTTAATAGTTATCCTTAAATGTCATAGGCATAAATTTTAAGATATAGTCGATGTGTAACATTGTGTTAAATGCTTTGGTAAAGTTATTTAAAACAGTGTCAACTAGGTTTCCGTGGTAAACTGATTTTGCTAAAATATTACCGGATATAACTAGGTTTGTAATCAATCATCATGATGTACAAATCCATGTTTAGATGTTGGTATTGGATTATGCATAGTTTTTTATAATCAAATCTAAGATTATCTCTCAGTCATCTTACACAGAAAAGTTGAGAGAAATCAATTTGTAAATACAACTCTTGGCTTCTTTTTTTCTTTGAGGAACTTTGAATGTAGACGTGACATTTGATTTGCGTTAATATTTTAAGAATTCTTAGAAAGTTGTTTAATCTTGGCAAATTAAGTTAATTAATGTTTACACTTAACTAATGCAGTATGTTCTAATTTTTCTATTTAAACCGTAAAAAATGTTTGTTCAGAATAATTGTACAAGCATTTAAACGATTTATGAAAATATTTTTTTTATTTGGATAAGACCGTGTTGTCTTCTTATATACTTTATTTGGCACCCTATTATCATGGCTACTTTTGCCAATCCAACTCGGCGGCCCTGATTATTATACAAAAAATATTTTAAAAATTATTTTAATAAAGTATAGATAAAATGAGTTACTAAATAGACTAGAATAATAAATAAAAGCTGAATTAGTTAACCAATATTTGTTATTGTTAAGTATTTATTATCATTAATTACAAACTATTATAACTTGTTATAATTTATTATGGTATAACTAATTATCTAAATTAACAACTGTTTAAGAATATTATATTGAATTATTAACTGAAATGATTTCTAAGATTTCTTTTCTGTTAACTTACTTTGGCATTTTTGCAAGTTGCATTTATAAAATTTTTTACTTTTTCCATTACAATTTAGACCACCATACTTAGGAGTTGGATTAGAACAACTGCGGAATTTTGATTTAACACCCCCATTACATGGTTGACTGCATGCTGACCAAGACGACCAAAATGACCATTGCCCATTTACTTAAAATCAAAATATATGTTTAAACTTAACTTTCCTGTACTATAAATAAAATAAAAAATAAATAAATAAATTTTTATATATAAAAAAAAAATATCAATGAGCTTATAACCTGCGCAAATTGTATTATCGTCACAGCTACTATTGTAAGCGCTAATACCAATACAACCTCTACCATGAAATAATGGATAGGGATTGTCACAACTTCTTTTAATAGTTTTAATTTCACTACCACATGATTTAAAGCATTTTAAATCCGACCAGGCTCCCCACATTCCTTCCACTAAAAAAAAGGATGAATTATTTTATATTAAAGTAAACTACAATATATTCGCGTGTATATATATATATATATATATATATATATATATATATATTTATATTCAAATATATATATATATATATATATATATATATATATATATATATATATATATATATATATATATATATATATATATATATATATATATATATATATATATTTGAATATAAATATATATATATATATATATATATTTGAATATAAATATATATATATATATATATATATATATATATATATATATATATATATATATATATATATATATATATATATATATATATATATATATTTAAATGTTTGTATGTGCGTGTTTTTTCTTTTGATTAATATTATTATTTAAAAATCTTTATTTTAGGAATATTTACTTTTATTATATTTTTGTAAAATCTAAATATTACGAGGTTTTATAATTAATGAATGGTCTATAACAAAACCACCTTAAAATCTAACTTTACCTATTATTACATACTTTTTCCTATTGAAAGAAATACAAATTTGCAGTATAAGAAAAAATTATACTTATTTTTTTTTTCATCATTTTTTATTTTCATCTTTTTCCAAATAAATGAAATTTTTTTTGTTTAGTATATAAAAAGAACTAAAATAGTGTTTGCTGATACCTGGACAGTCTCCTATATCACAATTTTGATCTCGAAAAACTGAACTTGCTGTTGTTTCTAAAATTAAATAGCTTCTTCTGTAACCTGCCCCACAAGACGTAGAGAATTCACTCCAGACTGACCATTTAGCTAAAACCATAAATTTATTTAAATTTATTGTGTAAGTTGAAAAGTTAAACTCATTAAGTGGCACTGTTGAATAATTTAAAACAATCAAATTTTCGTTAGTTTACTCTGCCTAAAGTATTTGCAAAACAGCAGTTAATGATATATATAAATAATCAACTAACAATTACTAAACTTGAATTGCGTTTATAAATAAATGTCATACGAACTTATAAAAAAGTAACACTTTCTCCACCTCCTTTCATTTTTTCTCTGGAGAAATGAAAGAGTTTTTTAGGAAAAATGAAAGGAGGCGGAATAATCTGAAAAATCAATACCATACTTAATAGTTTAGTAATATATTAATTAAAGTAAATATGAGTTAACTTTATATAAAATTAAATATAAATGTAAACTACCGTGAAAGGAACATTAACTCTGTCTTTAAAAACATACAATATTTAAATAGGTTTAAGCAAATAATATTTAAACAAACTCGAACTACAAAAGAATCGAAAAAATTTAATCTACCAAATTGAATTTAAAAAGCAACATTTTATAAAAAAATAAAAGAACAGCTAATAGTTAAAAGTGATAATTTTATACCATAACAGCTTAACTTATTATTTGGCATTAATAAGCTAAACCTTCTTTAAGAAACTTTACACTTGCGTTTATCCCATGTTGCTTTGAAGCCGTTAATTGAATTTGATGTCACAAACTCTTGAGGTAATAAATTCAGGTAAAAAAAAAGTAATAATATCATGATTTGACGATGCAATTAGAAAAAACTGACGACGAAAGCTCACAGCTGTGCATAAATGATTTCCTTTTTTTTGACATATAGCTCTGTTTATTAATTTAAAAATGGAATTACATTGGGTTTGCATATACGCAATGGATATATATAAATATTTTATGCTAGTTATGAGTAAAAGTTTTATGCCAAATAAGACCTTTATGCCAGTTTATATTATCAAAAATTTTTTGAAACCTTAAATTTTAAAGTAAGTAACCTCTTTTACTCTACTCTTTTAATGTAAGGGGTAAACAGATTCTATCTGTTGACCAGCCTCGCACCCCTTCGTCATCTATTAGGCTGGCGCAGATGTATTTTTAATACATTGTTTCCAGTTTTGGATGTTGAACGCTGGATCTTCTTGACTCGATTCATGGGTTTTGCTTGTATCTTTGTTTTTATGACTAGGCAACTCATTCTATTATCTCCAAATGAGGGTACAGCTCTAAAACTCAGTTTATGGTTCTGAGGCCGGCTGGTAGTCAGGTTTCTCGAACTCTGTGGTAGCTCTCAGAGAGGCTGATTCTATCAACAGCTGAAAAATATCAGAGTATTAACAGTGCTATGTTGCGCATGGATGGTGTCCCTGTTTGTACTTTTGGTGTGCATTGCCAAGGTCACATTGGAGCCCTTTGTTACGGCTTAGGGTTTATTAGTGGAAATGACGCAATTACTTGAGCTAAAGAACAGTGTACTGAGTACTATCAATGTTTCGAGTCAAGTTCTTTAACAAATTTAAAAATGAATAAAGTAACAAAAACTATAAAACACAAAAAACCACAGTCATCACCAAGTTCGCTAAACCTATCATTCACCAATATTCGTGGTCTTTGAAGTAACTTTTCTTCTGTTGAGTTTTATCTCTTGCAAAGTTCACCAGACCTGCTTGCTCTTTGTGAGACTAATTTAAGTTCAGCTGTCTCATCTTGTGATCTTAGTGTTGATGGTTATCTTCCTTTAATTCGTAAAGAATCCAATAGTCACATGCTTGGCCTGGGCATTTACATTCGTAAGAATTCACCCATTTGTCGGGAAACTAGGTTTGAATCCACAGACTACTCTTTTATGTGCTTTCGTTTAGCACCACTTTCTGATGATATTGAACAAGCCCTCATTCTTTATCCATCAGCCAATATTGTTGTTGTCAGTGACTTTATTGTTCATCACACTGAATGACTTGGCTCTAGTGTCAATGACTCTGCTGGCATTAAGGCCCACAACTTTTGTCTTTCTCAATCCCTAACTCAAATAGTCAACTTTCCAACTCGCTTTCCAGACAACCCAAATCATTTATCTTCTCTACTCGACTTATGTATTGTTTCTGATCCTAGTCAGTGCTCAGTTTCTTCTCACTCACCCTTAGATGCGTCTGATCATTGTTTGGTCTCTCTAAAACTATTATCTCATTCTTCTTCACCATAAGAATCCCCCTATCATCGTACATCTTACAACTACCTTAAAGCAGACTGGGACTCTTTTCGTGACTTTCTTCGTGATGGCCCCTGGGTAGAAATCTTTCGTCTCCCTGTTGACAAATGTGCTTCTTACATAACTTCGTGGATTCAGGCTGGCATGGAATCCTTTAATTCCTCTCGACGAATCCAGGTCAAGCCTCACTCTTCTCCATGGTTTTCATCACATTGTGCTGCTGCAATTGCCAATCGAAACCATTACATATCTATCAGCAAAACAATTCTCCAGAAAACAGACGTCTCTTTATGACTGCTAGGAACCATTGTAGAAAGGTTTTGTCTAGCGCCAAAACCCGCTATTCTCAGAAATCTCGAATTTTTGTGATGAAATCTCGAATTTCATCACAAAAATTGGGCTCTCGTGACTTCTGGAGAATCTTTGATAGTAGCAATAATAAAGGCAAGTCTGTAATCCCACCTCTTTTGTACAGTTCAGACTTTGTCACCTCACCTAAAGACAAAGCTGAATTGTTTGCCAAGAACTTTTTATCAATATCATCTCTTGATGCCACTAGTTGCGTTTTACCTGATATACCCGTCAAACAGGTTGATCCATTGCTTGACATTCGTATCACACCAGCTTCTGTATTTTAAGTGATTTCCCGCTTAGACTCTTCTACAGCTTGCGGCCCGGACAACATACCTGTTATAGTCTTGCAGAAGTGTTCTCCTGAGCTGTCGTCTATCTTTTCAAAACTATTCAACAAGTGCTTATCAGAGTCTTGTTTTCCAGCCTGCTGGAAAGCAGCATCTGTTATCCCTATTTTTAAAAATTCTGGAGAGTCATCTGACTCATCTAACTACCGTCCCATTTGTCTTCTTCCTATCATAAGCAAGGTTTTTGAATCTTTAATTAACAAACACTTAATCTCTCATCTCGAATCTCATAACCTACTTTCTGATCATCAGTATGGATTTCGATCTTCTCGTTCTACGGCTGATTTGCTATCAGTAAAAACCGATAGGTTTTATCGCGCATGAGATAAAGGTTGAAAGGTTAAGGCCATTGCTCTTGACATTTCTAAAGCGTTTGATAAAGTTTGGCATGCTGGTCTTCTCCATAAGCTTTCTTCTTATGGTGTATCTGGAAACATCTTTAAGATTATTGAATCCTTTCTTTCCAATCGTAGTATAAAAGTTGTCCTTGATGGACAGCACTCTTCTTCTTATTCTGTAACCTCAGGGATTCCCCAAGGTTCAATCCTTGGCCCTATACTCTTTTTAATTTACATTGCCGATCTTCCAGATATTCTCACATCTAAGGTGGCATTTTTCACTGATGATACTACTATTTATTCTTGTCACGATAAGAAGCCAACTCCCTCTGATTGCTTGCAGGGGGCATGTGAGCTTGAAAAGGATCTCACTTCTGCTACAGCATGGGGCTCGCAGTGGCTGGTGAACTTTAATTCAGATAAAACTCAATTTTTTTCGGCCAATCGTTATCGCAATAATTTAGACCTTCCTTTTTTACCCTTCATCTTCAAGGATTAACTCTTACTTCTGATCTTTCTTGGAAACCTTATATCAAATCCGTTGCAAATTTAGCATCTGCTAAAGTTGCATCTCTTTATCGAGCTCGTCACTTTCTTACTCTGGATTCTATTCTCTATCTCTATAAATCTCGAATCCGGCCTTGTATGGAATACTGTTGCCATATCTGGGGCGGATCTTCTAGTGATGCCAATTCTCTTTTAGACAAGGTGCAGAAACGCATTGTAAACATAGTTGGACCTGCTCTTGCGGCCAGCCTTCAACCTCTGTCACATCGTTGTGATGTTGCTTCTCTTTCTCTTTTCTACAAATACTATAATGGGCACTGCTCTAAAGAGCTAGCGTCTCTTGTGCCATCTACTAAAATTCATTCTCGTGTTACTCGTCATTCAATTAAGTCTCATCCTTTTTCTGTTACTGTTCCTAAGTGCTCCAAAAACTCTTATTCGTCTATTTTTGTTCTTCGAACATCAGTTCTTTGGAATTCGCTTCCTTTATCTTGTTTTCCTGATTCATAAAGTTTGCAATATTTTAAGTCGTCTGTCAATTGTTATCTTGCTCTACAATCTTCATCTTTTCTCTTTTAGTAACTTCCAACACTAATAAGTGGTTGCTTGCAACCTTGTTGGAAGCGAAGATAATTTTAAAAAAAAAAAAAAAAAAAAATGTAATTATTTCTATCAGCTAGTAATTTTTTCAATATAGACGCTTTTTCAAGGGACCAATTGTCTTTATTTTCTTTTTTGAACTCTATCCTAAAGTTTAATGTTGTATATAATATTTGAATTACAAACAGACACTGCGTATTCCAAATGCGCTTTTACATACGACTAGTACAGAGTTTTTCACAGTTTTGTACTATTACTGATACGGGTGCGGTTTAAAATACAAAAAACTTTGTTTGCTTTTTACATTGCTGACTAAGTATGCCTATTCTATCTCAAGTTAATTACAATTAGAATTCCTATATCCTTTTTTTAGTTTTGTCTTTTTGAATATTATTCTTGTTGATGTTAACATTTCAGGCATTGTATATGTTGTTTGTAAATTTTTCTTCTAAAATCACCTTACTTGTTATGTTTAATTTAATATGACAAGAATCACACTTCTCAATTTTTAAATTTTTATAAAATCTTTTTAAAAAACGTTCAAATTTTTTTGTAATGTTTTGACATCGTTTATGTTACCAACAACTGCATTTTTTTTGCTATCATCACCATAAAGTCTCAAAATATTTGAGGCAATATTCGGAAAATTAT